CTATTATTAAATGATTCAAATTTGGTGATTTTCCACAACCTGCATCACAATAAAGGAGCGTTTTGAAATTATAGGTAAGCTCAATCTGACAACTGTTAAGTGATAGAGACTACCAAGAGATTAAGAACCCATTCAGTTAGAAGCTTTTATGTGGTAAGACTAAAAGATAGGCATATATCATTTTCGTTTCTGCTATTTTTTGTATTTCCACACGCACTGTAGCTTGCTAAATACAAAAAGCAGCTGATGAGCAACAAAAGAATATTGCACATTATACCTGGTGGTCCAACTATAATACTATACAAATTTAATGGTTTTGATTGTTCAAACATTGATGCATATATCGATGATTGAGCAAACCGTGACAATAAAGGTAACATTCCATAGAAAAGAATATCTACATTAGCACCGCCTTGCATATATCGATTAAAAATACACATTTCATTCTGGTTCAATATCCATTCTAAATCAAACTTAATTTGTGCCCCAGCTTTGACATTTTCTTTCAATATAGCTCCGTATCCTTCAACTAGCTTCGTCGCCATTGTCGTGTTATCAACGTATTACAAATAATATATAAAAGAAAAACGAGGACATGGCACTTTGTCTATCTAAAAGGCAAAAACTCAATAATCGAATCCCGTACCTTAATAAATAACATTTTGGAGTTATCCTATAGTTGTGCATTCTAAACACAACTAACATCTACCTACTCCGGTGGCATTTCACAAATTCACTACATTCACTAAAACGCGAAACAACTCCATTACTGGACGACGCAAAATAAATGTAACAAAACAGATAAGAAGAAAGAATACTACCAACATAAACCGATCCAAACACACAACGACCACAAGGATATAATCAGCGAACAACAAACTACCCACGTTCAATTTCATGCAGGAAAGAATCTCATTCTTTCTCGCTTCAGCATACAATCAGAAAAACAAGCATAAGTTGTAGAGATAGAAAACAGTATCGGCAAGCGCCTGTCTGCTCTTTCAACAGACACGCTTTTGCAGTAGCTTCTAAGATGCACAAGTTCAGTTTCTCATTTGATTTTCGATGAAAAACAACAGCACAGACAAATTCAGGGCTTTACATTAGAAAAGTTCACTTTTTCTTTCGACAAAAGTCCATAAATACGCACAGTGTACAAACGTTCTTCCCAGTCCGTATCACATAACAGCTAAGCTAAATCACATCAAAAGATGACTAAACAACGTACACTCGATTCAGATATGGTTCGTAATTTGGAAATTCTTAGAAGATAGGAAATAGTATTTGGCTGCGCCTGATCTACTCTCTCAGGAGCCACGTTTCTGCAGTAGCTTCGAAGGTGAACAAGTTGAGTTTCTCGTTCGATTTCCGATGAAGAACAACAACGTATTTCCATAGAAAAAGATAGATCTTGAAATATCTCCATAGAAAAGAAGTATCGATCAACATATGCACATATGTTGATAATAACTAGTTATAGTGATAGTAGCGTTGTATACCTTCGAAGCTACTGCAGAAACGTGTCTCCTTAGAGAGTAGATGAGGCGCGTTCCAATACTATTTGCTATCTCTTAAGAAGTTCCAAATTACTGTTTCCCAGTTGTATAATGAATAACGCGATATCTTAACGGAACGATAGTTCAGAAATTTGTGTGTCTGGATGAGTTTTTGTTCTTTTCTAAACATGAAAGTACACTTGCGATCGTTGATTAGGGAAATAAAAGCAATTAAGACAGGATTCGGCAGCCCATCGCGAAAGTACGTAACATGCAAAAATTTGAAATACGATTCTTATTTGATTTTCAGATTCTACAATCAAAACTGGGATAACGAAAGAGCTTTTGACCTTCCAGACTTTACTTTGACCGACTCACAGAGTTTTCAAAATGAGGTGCACCGAAGAATCGCGAAAATGTGCACTGTCTCATATTTTCGCTATAACTCAGTCATTTTTTGTCCGATCTGGTTGAGCAATGTCTCATTCGAAAGACCGTTGACTAAAAACTAAACAAAACTAAACAAAATCATGAGGCTTCTCTTTTTCTAAACGCAGTAGTGATTTTGTAAGAGGTTCATCAAGTGAAGTATTATGATTTTCACTTACAAAGTGTTTCCAAAACCCACTTTTAGGCATCTAAACAGAATTTCTCTAGAAATATGAAGGTGACATTCGATAGGAAATTCAATTTTCTACTAACTGAACCAAAAAGCTTTGTTTTGAAACCCCTGCAACAGTTTGAAAACATGAAGACAAGACGGCCGATCGACATCGTTTTTTCAGTTTTTTGAGACTTTTGTCATTAAGATTTCATTCTAAAAGCAAAGTAAGGTTATATTTGGAATCAGCGTCAAAACTGCATTACATAGTGTGCCTTCGAAGTTATTCAGAGACAGAAATGTTTCTAGTAAAAATTGGTCGGACTTCGAAAATAAAAATAGAAAAAGTGTCGAAAACGTTTTGTCTCTAACTAACCTCGAAGGCACATTTTATGATGCAGTTTTGACGCTGATTCCAAATATAAGCTTATTTTTGTCATAGAATGAAATCTGGATGCCAAAAGTCTCAAAAAACTGAAAAAACGATGTCGATCGGCCGTCTTCTCTTCACGTTTTCAAACTGTTGCATGGGTTTCAAAACAAAGCAAATTACTGTTTCCTAGTTGCATGTTGAATAACGCGATATCTTACCGGACCGGTAGTTCAGAAATTTGTATGGATGATCTGATTACGATCAATTTTGAGGGTAAATTCGATTAACACCAGCACTAGATTTAGCCACAGGAGTTAAGGTTGAACCGTGAAAACTCCAACAACCGGAAAGCTACGTTTCTAGATTTTGAAAGGGAAATAGTTCAATAGCAAACTAAATTAATTGCGCACGACAAACGCAGTAAGTTTTGATTTGACCTAGTCAACTATCCCGAGTTAGGACGAAATTTCGCCGAAACTATGGGTTATAGATTTTTAATTGCACAGATGCTTCGTCTGTCGAGAACAACTATGCATTTTTCAACGTACGGAGCTACCGCTATGGCTATGTATAAGAAGTTGATAAGACAGGGTTAAACATCAGAAAGATTCATCAAGACATAGAAGAAATATGGAACAGCATTCAGGGGTGAGAGTAAAAAAATCGAAATACCTGCCAGGTTTTTCAGGTGAGCGCCTAAAATTTTTCAGGTTTTTTCAAAAAAATTCAGGAGGCCAGAAAACAATTTCATTCGATACATTGAGCAATTCTTTTGTAACAATGTTCATGATACTCTACTTTTTTGTACCTTAGGGATATCTTAAGGGAGGATTCGTAAGGGATACCAAGCACC